GACTCTCTGGGCAGAAAAGCAGAGCCACACACTGCAAGATGGCTGGGATGATGGTGAACCCCAAAAGCAGTGGCCAGAGTGTTTTGGTCCCCATGATCTGGTTCAAGCCAAAGATCTGGTGTAGCAAATAGGAAGAACAAGAATAGACGTTAGGAGGATTTCCTTGGATCAAAAATTCCTTTTTCCCCTTCATCCTCTGTTTTTCATGGAGTGATCCCTGAAACAAAGTGGTCACCCTCATTCCTAACTACCTGTTTCCTTGGAGGCCCTGAACTGCCTACTTCCATAGCTTAGCTATACCTTATAGTCAGAGCCTAACCAGTTCCTGGGACCACTGAAATTGGTGGATCTCCCTGGACCCCAAGTGCCTTGGCTCCTGTCTGAAGCTACCACGCTATGCAATCCACCCTTTTCTCCTGCTGACAAAAGGGCCATGAGTCCTTAACTCCTCTGATGACAACAAGGGAACAGCATATAAGCCCCTCCTTGCTCTGCACCCTTCCCACCAGCCTGTGTAAAAGGCAGTGTCAACCTTACCTGTGCCACCAGGATGCCCACCACAATACCCAGCTGGTTCAGGGTGCCAAAGGCACCACGCAAGGCAGTGGGTGAGACTTCGCTGATATACATGGGCACAAAGCCAGTGCAGAGCCCACAGAAGATGCCAATGATGAAGCGGCCTATGATTAGCATCTCCACTGCACCTGCCAGCCTGGAGAAGCCCATGAGGATTCCTCCCACCAGGGCCAAGATGTTCACTCCCAGCATGGAGTTCCTCCTGCCAAGGTAAAGGATATGGAGTTAGTGCTGGGTAGTGCTGGGAAGGAGCTGTAGACCCAGAAACCCATCCCAGGAGATCCTCCCCGACTCAGCCTTCCTCTCAACCTTGTCCTTCTGCCACTTTCCACCTCTTGTGTTCCACTCTTACCCATGCAGGAATTGGTCCCATCTCTCCCTCCCTCCCAATCTACTGGTCCAGAATTTGGGAGAGAAGCAATCTCCTCTCCTTGTCTCAGTATCCTAAAGCAAAAGGGCAAACCTCCTAGCAACTCAAACCCCTTCCTTCCCAACGCACCTGCCGAATCGGTTGACGAAAAGGCCAACGGAGAAGGAGCCGATCATTCCTCCTACAGAGAAGATGGCCACAGAAAGGGACCATAGTGAGGTGAGGAGCTCATCAGAGGTGGGGGTCCCTCTCCGAACTGACAACGTCTGGTTGAAGAACTCCTGAATAATCTATAATAGAAGATGGCGAGCGGAGTTAATAATATGCCTCTGTTGGGTCAGGGGTTCTTTTATCTCAGGGCCAGGAAATGAGGATAGCCTGGAGACACAGAGGCACAGAAGCTTGAGTGGACCAATGCAGCTAAAGAGGAATTAGCAGTTCAGAGGAAGAGAAGTTCAGAGAATAGCGGTAAGAAGAGAGAGACTGACTCTCTGGCAGAAACAGGCTTGAGCAGGATGTGACTGGATTGGCGAGACTAATTCTTCCACCCATGCCCAGAGGATTTATAAAAACAGTGTGTGTGTTATAGTGGTGGGGAGAGGGATTAGTCGGCCAGAATGAGAAAAAATGGGAATAACAGCAGAGCAGAGAAGGGGGGACAGGGGGGAATCCTGGCAGCAGGGTTATATGAGACAGTGGAATCATTTTCCAGGTGACCTGGTGGAAATCCCACTGAATAAGGCTCTGTAAAGCAGCAGTGCCGTTAGGAACAGCCCTGCCCTTGTCTTCAGGGAGTGGGGAGATGGACGTCATGAGGCTTTTCTTGCTGCTCATTTTTTGGATGCTCTCTGTTTAAGGACAGCTGGGCCGGGGGGCGCCAGTTTGAGAGTATACGCCTGCCCCCCTGCCCCCACTTTACTCCCTCCCCCTCTCCCCCAATCTGCAGCTATGACATATGTATTCCGGGAGAGAGGTGGATGTTGTGTGCAGTGACTCAGATACTAGGAGGGGTTTTACATATCAGTTACAGGAAAAAGAATCACAAGGTTTTTTTTCTTTCTCGTTTCTTCTTTTTTTTGGTTTAAATTCGAAATGATTCTGTGGGACTTTCCCCAGTAAAGTCTCAGAACTTAGCTATCTTCACTTAAAAGCAGAGGGGCGAACTGGTTAAATAGATACATGCATACATATACTGATATACATACATAAAAGACATTTTTTACTCTTTAGACCTTTATTATTAAAAGATTAGAAACAAAAACTAATGAAGTAGTGGCATGGGGGGTGGGGGGACAATAGAATTGCAAGTGGCTCATTTGGAGGGGGTGCAGGGATGGGGAAAGGGTGGCTCCTGGGCAAGCATGGGGGGGGCATGTGTGTCTCTCCCCCCCACCCTGCCCCGAGATCTGTGCAAAGGGTGAAGGCAGGCTGCCACTGCAGGCTTTGCCCCAGGCGCCAAACTTTGTTGCTACGGCACTGGTATGAAGTGTACATTGCTCTATAAGGGGTTGAGCATTAAAGCTTTACAGACGGAAGGAAGGAAGGAAGGAAGAGCTGCTCTCAGATGAAATCTGAGAATTTCCCTCCCAGCCCTCTCTCAACTCTCCTTGTGGGACAAGCTTGTCTTCCTCACCCCCTCCTCCATCCTGGGCTGCTCTCTGAGTCAGAGCTCCCAGTCATCATTCCTTTTCCCCATGTCCCTCAAGCCCTGACTATGAGGAGGCTGCTGTGGGTTAAAAGGACAGCAGACAGGCAGGACCGACACATCACTTGATAGGCATGCTTTCCCAAGAAAATGGGAAAGCCAGAATGCAGGATCAGCTAGAATCAGCCCACTTGGTGGCCATGCTTTCCCAAAGGAAATTCGTCAAATGGGTTGGACTCATGCACTCCCTTCACCTAGAAGGAGCAAGGATCCTGTCCTTCCAATTCTGCTAGAAGAAACTGGTGAACTTTCAAAACTCCCTATCAGAATGGAACCGTGGTTCTTTCTATAGCTGCACTGTCTTCACACGCAATGCAGAAAAACTAGCGCTCCCTCCCCCCGAGATGCCAAATTCACCTGTCCCACACTACCTTCAACACTGTGGTCAGAAAGGGCAAAATGGCCACCTCCCCACAGAAATGCAAAGATGTCTCTTCTTTCTCTCCCTTTCCATCTTCACAGTAAGGGAATGGTCCCTCTGAACCCCTCCCTTCTTTTGTACTTCAGATAGGAAACACCAGCTATCCAAACACTGGACCCTGATGGACCCTCGTGCACCTCTGTCATCACATCACTGCCCTTTTCCAACGCACCCCTTCACTTTTGCACCCTCATTGGTTAGGATAACTCTCTCCCCTGCCTGAACA